GCGCTGTCAGGCCAAACTTCCATCTCCAAAGGCAGACCTAAACAGCGATGTTCTAGTATAGAACATCGATGTAGAGACCTGACCGTTGGAAGGAATTTAAGGCTAAAACTTTCCTTGTTTGGAAGTCAACAGCCAAAACAGCGATGTAGGGATTTTAGACATCGCTGTTGGCATGACCGTTGCTTCCCATTTTTCAAACTGCAAGCCTAGAATAGCGATGTCCAGGCCTAGGACAGCGCTGTCTGGGTGATTTTCAACAGATCCAAATTTCATCAAATCCCACAAATTATGCCAATCACCCCTTAAATAATTTGGTCCGTTGGAGCCTATTTTTCTACTATAAAATGAGGTGTTTGGGTCTGTTTTACATATCACATTACTTCTCAACTCCTACTCTTTCATTTCAAATCATTCTTTAATTATTCATAGCTTTTGAGAGCCATTTTTGTGAAGCTTGTGTCGTGTTCTTGAGCGTTCTTAGTTTACTCAATATCCACTCTAAAAAGAGAGTATTGTTCTTGAGTGTTTTTAGTGTTCTTAGACACTTGAAAGGAGAAGGTATTTCTCTTGTTGTTCGAAGGAAGGGTTGTTTCCTTCGAAGGTTCGTTGAGGTTCGTGTGACTCGAACTCTCAAGTTGTACGGGTTTGTTAAGCACCGTTAAGCTTAACGAGATAGTAGTGTAGCTCGAGAGAGTCTCTCGGGAGGCTGGATTAGCCACAAGTTGTGGTGAACCAGGGTAAAATCGGTGTGCCTCTTTCTTTTCTGTTTACTTCTCACTTATTCATTTTTATTCCTGCGATTTCTTGATCAAACGCTATTCACCCCCCCTCTAGCGTTGGTCTATTATTCTAACAATTGGTATCAGAGCCTAACTCGCGTCCAAACTTAACCGTTTGAGAGTAAAGCGATCATGGGCCCTTCTTCTAGAAATCTCTATGCAGGAATTGGAGAAGGTCAATCAACCTCTAGGCCACCACTCTTTGATGGCACCAACTACTCTTATTGGAAGGAACGGATGAGAATCTATATTCATTCCACCAACTTCCAATTGTGGTTGGTGATCAAAAATGGCGAAGAAATCCCTATGAAGAAAATGGGAGAAACCACGGTCCCAAAGACCGAAGACGAATTTGATGCCGAGGACATCAAGAAGATCGAAAACTATGCAAAGGCCATCAATATGCTATATTGCGCGGTCAACCCCGATGACTACCGAAAGATCTCCTGTAACACAACCGCCAAGGAGATGTGGGACAAGCTCGAAGTGACGTACGAAGGTACCGATCAAGTTCGCGAAGCCAAGATCGACTTTCTCACCCAAGAGTACGAAATGTTCCGGATGAAAGATGGTGAGAAAATTGATGACATGTTCGACCGGTTCTCAAAGATCATCAACGATCTTCATGCTCTCAAAAAGACCTACACCAACAAGGATCTTGTGAGGAAAATCCTGCGGAGTCTCACACCCGAATGGAGGTCAAAAGCCGATGCAATCTACGAATCCATCGGAGTCTCCAACGTCACCATCGACGGGCTAAGAGGTAATC